GCCCGTTGTATCCTTCCTCAATAGGCCATTTTTCTCGTATATATATATTAGACAATTAGACAAATTAGATGCATCCAATTAGACGAAGCCACCTTTTACTTTAAGTTAATTAGCTAGTGTAATTAGCGAAATAGATCTACTTCATGATTAATTATAATAGTTAATTATCGAAATGACCATGTTATAATAGAGGAATAAGTAGTTTACCTGGATGGGACAGTGAACTTACACACAGGTAAATAATGACGTCAGTCAGTGTTGCTACCTGGTAGTGTTGGGGTGAGCAGCACTTTCATCATTCTAATATGTATAGAGATACGTAATTATATAGGCCTATATATATATATATATATATATATATATATATATATATATATATATATATATATATATATATATATATATATATATATACAAACACAAAATACGAACATATGATACTCATTGCTGGCCTGTTCGGGTTATGAAAAATAATTTTTTTTTTTTTAAATTAAAACAAATTACAGCATCATGTCGTGTTTGTAAGTCAGGGGTCGGCAACCTGCGGCTCGCGAGCCGCATGCGGCTCTTTTCGTGTCAAGGTGTGACTCTTCAGTTCCTTGCACAAATATTAATAAACGAGAAAAATGGCCCGTTGAGGAAGGGTACAACGGGCGCTAGGTTGATAGTGCCGTCTATTTTCTCGGTACTTTAATTTATACAAAATATAGTCATAGGCATATCCCTAAACCATGCACCTAATCTCATTCATGACAAAAGTCGCATTTAGAGTTTCTTTCAGGCAACTCTACTTGGGAGGAGGGGGCTTCGCCCCCTCCCCTCCCCCCCCCCCTCCCTCCCCCCCCCTCCCCCTCCCTCTTTCCCCCCCCCCCCCCCCCACACAAACTCCAAAACATGTCTACCGTCCCATTCAACAAAATATAATTATATACTTTTTCCAGTGTCCGCCCCCTCCCAGAAAATTCTACGCCCGCCCCCGAAAATTTCAAGTACCCCCACCCCTCTCGGGGAGGAAAAAGTCTGAAAGAAACACTGGTGTCGCGCTTAGCCACTACCCGAAGAATTGCATTAAAGAAATTGCAAGAAAACCACTTTTTAGATTAGACACATTAATTAGGCGGTAATTTTATTATAGAGTATCGATGAAGAAATTTCTTTTGAGTTGGGGAGAGGGGGGGGGGGGGCTTAGACGTTCTTAAGCGGGGATGGGGCTTCGCCCCTACCCGAAGAATTGTATGCAAGAAACTCTTCACGCAAACCATTTAGATTAGACAAAATTGCCTTTTTATTCAATGTTTACTCGAGAATCAATGACGTCATATTACTGTGTGCACTCTCCGGTTTGAGATTATTTTCTACTCTATTCTAAATGTGACGACGTCATACTTCGTTTTTCGAATTACTATGCATGTTTTTCATTTCCTTGTGTTTTCTCTAGAGCGTTCTTGTCAGATAGATACATAGATAGACATACAGCGAAACTATTAGTATTAATTTATTATTTAATCTTCAAAACTCACCAAAAAAAAATACTGTAAAAAAAAACATCTTCGACTTAAACAGGACTAAAACATTCATCGGCGAACAGTGAGAGTAGGTGTGGTAGAAGGTTTACAGACAGCTAACAGCCGCTTGGGCACCAGCCCCACAGTAGTGCTGCAGCCAACACCGTTGCGACTATTCTATGCTTGCCACTGCTAGAGTGCAGACTTTTTCGAATATAGTTAAATGGGGAATGTTATTCTATTCACAATGCATTCCTTTACCTGTCAGTATGCATTAATTTGACCTGAGTGACGAAGTATTTTAGTTTTTAGTTTCCTACGGTTGAGCCACCTCCTGAGCCAGTGGTGTCCGTAAGGAAAGGAAAAAAAATTAGTTGCTTCTAAAGTGTATTAGGATAGCCAGGGGCGGAACTACCATGTCGCCAGATCCCGCAATGTGTGTGTGGGGGGGGGGGGGCGGGACGTTTAGTGGCCCAATTCCGACCCAAAAAAAAATGAATTTTCTTTTCATAAATAATGTTTTTCTTGCAGCTTGATAATGGTTTTCTAAAAAAAAAAACAGGTCTACTATAACAGCGATTGTTCTACAGTAACTAACACACACTGTTGCGTAGAAAATAAAAATATTTTAAAATCTACAAAAGCTATAGTTTGAAAGATGGGCAACCGTTCTCACTATTTCCACGACTTACTGCCCTTATTTAAAATAGGGTTGCCCATTAAGCTCATTTAAATAGTTTTGCACTATGTAAATTAAAAAGCAATTGATTCTCTTAGTTATTATTTAAATAAGACATGCTAAAGAATCGTATAGCTATAAAATGAATGTACTAAAAATTGATAATATAAATACAAATAAACCGGGAGTGATCTCCCCTAAACTTTTTCGAATATTCTTATATAACTCGGAATATAGACATACTTAAAATTTTAAAAATAAAATAGAATCTCGTAGAAAAAAGAATTGCGCACCAAGCGAATGCCAAAACAAAATGTGCATAATAGTGCGGAATTTTATTAGTGCTTTATAAATTTACTTGCTTTTTTTTTTGAGAAATCGGAAATGGCGTAAATTACTACTTCCGGTCAACGGAAATTACTCAAAATTTGAAAGAAGGTAGAGACATAGATCTTTTACTTACATGTGAAATTTCATTTATCTATCTAAAATAATACTCAAGTTATAGGCTTTTGAAAAATTCAAAGTAGAAAAAGTACCACTTACGGTTTTGTTATCGGAAATCGCTCAAAAGTTGATACGGATCTACGATTTTGATAAAATACTTATATATGAAATTCCATCAACCTAGCTGTAACGGTACTCAAGTTATCGTGTTTACACACACACACACACACACACACACACACACACACAGAGAGAGAGAGAGAGAGACACAGACATACGGACAAGATTGCAAAATTATGTTTTCCGTATCAATGAGGTGTAAAACGTCGAGAATCGTAAAAATCTCGATTTTGTTTTGCACTATTACATGACTTTCTCTATACTTCGTATATACGAGAAGGTAAAAATTATAAAAATAAATATAACGCGAGAAACCATAGCACAAATCAAGCTTACGTGTTTTCATACTTTTGACCGGCTTAGACTGTTATGATTTAACGAGAAAAATGACCCGTTGAGGAAGGATACAACGGGCGCTAGGTTGATAGTGCTGTCTCTTTTCTCTAAACTAAAACCCAAACCAAAATCACCACCTTCATTCAATTTAACCGGAAGCGAAAAATGACATTGAAAACGGATTTTTATCCAGAATCGGTTACTTTAATTTATACAAAATATACTCATAGGCATATCCCTAAACCATGCACCTAATCTCATTCATGACAAAAGTCGCATTTAGAGTTTCTTTCAGGCAACTCTACTTGGGAGGAGGGGGCTCAGCCCCCCCCCCCCCCCCACCCACACACACACCCCAAAACATGTCTACCGTCCCATTCAACGAAATATAATTATATAATTTTTCCAGTGTCCGCCCCCTCCCAGAAAATTCTACCCCCGCCCCCGAAAATTTCAAGTACCCCCACCCCTCTCCGGGGAGGAAAAAGTCTGAAAGAAACACTGGTCGCATTTGTAGATCATACAAACTAAAGGAAGAATCTGGGCGGGGTTTCGCCCCTACCGGAAGAGAGGAAAAAGTCTGAAAGAAACACTGGTGTCGCGCTTAGCCACTACGCGAAGAATTGCATTAAAGAAATTGCAAGAAAACCACTTTTTAGATTAGACACATTAATTAGGCGGTAATTTTATTATAGAGTATCGATGAGGAAATTTCTTTTGAGTTGGGGAGGGGGGGGGGGGAGCTCAGACGTTCTTACGCGGGGGTGGGGCTTCGCCCCTACCCAAAGAATTGTATGAAAGAAACTCTTCACGCAAACCACTTATATTAGACAAAATTGCCTTTTTATTCAATGTTTACTCGAGAATCAATGACGTCATATTACTGTGTGCACTCTCCGGCTTGAGATTATTTTCTACTATATGACGTCATACTTCGTTTTTCGAATTACTGTGCATGTTTTTAATTTGCTTGTGTTTTCTCTAGAGCGTTCTTGTCAGATAGATAGATAGACAGACAGCGAAACTATTATATAGAATACTTCTCACAGTTAACGGTGAAATTTAGTGCAGCAGGCTAATAATGTATATATATATATATATATATATATATATATATATATATATATATATATATATATATATATATATATATATATATATATATATATATCTACCTATGAATAAATCAATAAATTAATTAACGTTTTTAAATAAATTTGTGATTAACAGTCTGTCTGAAAACAAAAATTGTTCTCTACCTACATACTATTTTACAGCTCTCCACAATGAGTAGAACCATTTACAATAGTCAATCAGACAAACAAAAAAAACAAACAAAAAATAAATATTCAAACATGTAAACAAACTTGAGTTTTAGTAGTATATAGATGTTTGATTTTATTACAAATAGCCTCTAAATTAAAAAGAAATATTTTTTTAGCGTATTGTAACACTCCGCTCTAAATTTAGCAACACGCTTGGTGTCAATGAAACCAAAATGGCTGAAATCTTGTCTACAAGTCACATGTAGATCACCTCGACTCTACCTCCCCAATGCTGGAAGTGCTGAACGAGTTTGTCGACGAGAACGGAAATAAAGTTATTGTCCATCGAAATCGTAGCTAAAACTCTACACGAGTGAATCCCTGAGAATCATATTTTGATTCAGACATCCGTTGTTCGTGAGACATTTAGTTTGAGATCCATTGTCATGAGATCATTTGTCCTTGAGATATTTTGTCTTGGATCATTTTGTGCTGACTACCAAATCATATGTTGCCCTAATTACCTGTTTAAAAATCAGAAAATTACAAAACGATTCAACCGTTTAAAATGTAAATTAATTTTTAACGAGGTGTCAAGTATATAAAAGCCATTACTTTATTCAGCTAGTTGTGGTGCTTCACTGACGGGTCTTTGAACCAACAGGCGCTACAACGATGGCATTTCTAGCACTACTCTTCCTGTCATTGTGTGGAGTCTTCACACAAACCTACGGTAAAACTGATTTTTTTTTTCTTTCTTTAATTCAACATTGAATTTTTCAGAGTAACTGAATTTAAAAATGTGCACAATTTTTTTAATGTAATTGTTATAACTGGGTTCTATATGTGTACCACAGCTATGCAGTGAGAGGGTAGAACTACTTGATCCAATATTATATTTCAGTACCACTACCATTTCATTATGTCTAGCCATGCAATAGTGCATCTTGAGACACGACGACATCAACGATTACTAATGATTTGACAGAATGACATTGTTTACTAATTACATTTATTGCACTATAGAAATAGACATCGGACAGCTTGAACAAACGATACTGAGACGGGACAACCTAACCCTAACATAACATGAACAAGACTAATCTAAGCTTCTTCCCCGGCAACAACGAACTCACACTCAAACGTCACTTTCTTGCGTACCGCGTCACACTTTCACTCGTTCAATATTATCGCTTCGCACCAGCATTCATGCGCACCAATTTCCCTAGTCGAACATGCATCATAACATTACCCCCCTCTCCCTTCAAGCTAATCACATTAGCTTTATTAATTACATCAATAATCCAACATTCTATTTTACCTAACAATAGCAACTATGGTAGCATTCACACATAGACCTTAAAGGCTAAACAATTTTAACTAATTCTTGAAGTTTCTGTTTAGTTCGTCTCCACACGCACAAACATATGACGATTCTTCAAAGTATAGCCTACATCTCAGATCACAAGTTGGGAATACATCCTTCAAACACACTTCACGTTGATTCATCATGTAAAGGCCAGGATTCCATACAATGCCGATCATATCATAGACCTTAAACATCCCATCAGTTCCACTGAAAAGAAATTATTCCTAGGGGAAAACAACATGTCACTACTAATCGGTTATCATTATCTAACATAGTCTCTCTAACCTAATATATTAGACTTAATCTAATGTAGTACCTCTTCTGTTAATTACGCTATATTATTTATACAATAAATTACATCTCACGTGTTAATTTAGTGCTAAGTAATTAAGTAACCACATCAAATTTCATAAATCACTATATCACCTGCATATATTCATCTCATGTTACAATGACATGTACCAATAATAATTCTTAACATCTTCAGTAACCAAATACGATATCACATAGAGGAATATTTTCCCTAGAACCCTTAAATCCATGACCAGGTACTCGGTACATCCTCGAGCTACCCACACAAAAAAAATCTGACTGCATCCTCAGTCTTGAAATCAACTAACTACCGATGAAGCAACCGACCAACGAACAATCCCCCTGCTGGCCGGGTGACGACACCAAATTATCTTAAAACAGCATTATCCTAATCTACTGGGTTCCTTACGCTAAGAAAACAAACCTCATAGGATAACATATCATCACATATCATACATTGAAAATCATTATTACAACAAATAAATTCCAGATCAAAGTGACATTATCATCATGTCAACAATATAACTCCGCTCTCAAACCGGCGTGTCCATATGAACTATAACAATATCAATTATCACTAATAATACTGATGTCTTACTGATCATACTACAACCCTCATCAGCACAACACAGCAATGGGCTCATAATACCTACAGCCCCAGCCTAATCACTACAATTTTTTGTTTCACTAAGACGTAATAGAAAAAAATGTACATGCCTACTACTTAAAAAAAATGTATAAAGAGGTACTACTTATCTAATTTGTAGAGCTTGGGCATCATCATCGGCTTCATCACACAACACACACTTCCCACACAGATCCCCTTGTCCTTCACAACCTAGGTCCTCCCAGCACGGTGTTCATGTCAAGGTCCTCGCAGCGCGGTCATCACATGTTCTCCCCACACGGTTCTTCATGGCATGGGTCCTCACATCACGGTCATCACATGTTCTTTCCATACGCTTCTTCATGGCATGGGTCCTCCCAACACGGTTTCTCACAGCACGGGTCATAACGGCATGGGTCATCAGAGCACGGGTCTTCTTAGAACTAGTCTTCATACATATGTCTTCAAACACGGGTCTTTTTAGCACGGGTCTTCACACACAAGTCTTCTTAGGACGGGTCTTCACACACGAGTCTTCTTAGCACGGGTCATCACACACGAGTCTTCAACATGGGTTTTCACACTGGGATCTTCACACACGGTTTTCACAATAACAGTCCATATATCACAGAGACATAGTCCGTACGAAAATTATATCGATGAAACTTGACTGATTAGACAGTGATAGCGTTTTCTGACTAGATGTTATATCCGCCGACTAGCATCTAAGTATTTTAAGCTACTTCGCCTTGTTATACTGCTTCATGCTGTTATACTGCTTGAGCTGTCTTCATTCTGTTATAGCTGCTTCATGTTACTATAGCTAGTTCACGTTAATGCTGCTCCACCATGTTATAACTGGGTTCTATATGTGCACTACAGCTATGCAGTGAGAGGGTAGAACTACTTGATCCAATACCATATTTCAATACCACTACCATTTGATTATGTTTAGCTATGCAATAGTGCATCTTGAGACACGACGACATCAACGATTACTAATGATTTGACAGAATGACATTGTTTACTAATTACATTTATTGCACTATAGAAATAGACATCGGACAGCTTGAACAAACGATACTGAGACGGGACAACCTAACCCTAACATAACATGAACAAGACTAATCTAAGCTTCTTCCCCGGCAACAACGAACTCACACCCAAACGTCACTTTCTTGCGTACCGCGTCACACTTTCACTCGTTCAATATTATCGCTTCGCACCAGCATTCATGCGCACCAATTTCCCTAGTCGAACATGCATCATAACAGTAATGAATTATTTTAATTTTTGATGTCCACGATAACAGCAGCGAATTATCGCGTAACCGTGGACACCGGAAACGTGGACAGTGCCGGAACCGATGCTAAAGTTTCTCTCACCATTATCGGAAACCGCGGACGTACAGAACAGCTCGAACTGCCTGAAGACGCACAGAAGAGTAAGTTCGAGCGGGGCAACACGAATGACTTCGATGTGAGTACTGTTGGTGCTTGTTACTATTGGAGAATATAAGTTTGTTTTTAAAATTAAACAACAATTTTTAGATATTACCGTTGTCCTGAAGTTTAATTTTTTTTTTTACAAGTTTGACCGACTACTATGCGTATAACTTTTTTGTTTGTTCTTGACTGTAATAATGAAAGGCATATCCTCCAACACAGTATCGGAGTTTTATGTCCTAAATGGGTTGCTATCCCCAGCCAACGGGACTCATTTGCATGGGGTCCGAACTTGGGGCTTTGGAGTTATGAATCATACAGTCACACACTCACTTGCACTACTAAGCCGTCGCCCCTAGCACGTTAGCAAAGTCCATATATTATATATATATATATATATATATATATATATATATATATATATATATATATATATATATATATATATATATATATATATATATATATATATATAGTGACCAACGGTTTTTTGGGGTACTTGCCGGTGACGCAGGCGCTTCAAGTTTGACAGGTCCCTGCTACGGATGAAAGAATACATGGTAAATTCGGCCACAAAGTTCAAAAAGTGGTTGAAAACTTAGCGCGTGCGACCAGCGCCTCCTATAATTTATAGAATGAAAATCTCAAAAGGCCCTGAAAACTTCGTTAATTTGTAGACTAGAGTCCTTGAATTTCCGAAAAATGTTTTTCTTTTTTTTATATATATAAAACAAAGATTTGGCTACTAGCTGCAAAAATAACGAATCATAAAATGGAGAAATGTCCGGTGATCTAATGATACGCGTATTGTTACTTGTATGATTCAGTTGGCTTTTTAAATTTTGCATAGGTATCCTCGAGTGCTAACGTTGGAACTATTACAAACATCATAATTGGACATGACAATTCTGGCGTTAGACCTGGCTGGTTCCTTAACACAGTGAGTGCCATCTGTATTTTGGGGTTAGATTTGTCTACGTTTTATAATATATATATATATATATATATATATATATATATATATATATATATATATATATATATATATATATATATAAATCTGACCGTAGCCCTTTTGTAAGTATTGGTGCTGGCCTTGATACAAGTACCGATGCCATTACATTACTACACATTCGGTTGATTACTAAAGTTTTTTTTACACAAAGTTTTAAATTTGGCTGCTAGAACTATGGTTATGATGGCTATGATACACTTTACCTCACAAATATCTATAGTCAAATAAGCGCTCCGAAGTTTCTTTTAAATTCTTTTTAAAATTGTTATATGAAGTATTTACCGCCCATCTTTTGTTTTCTAGGTAAGGGTGAGAAAAGTGTTTACCACAGCAGAAGCTGCAGAGATTTTAGAGTTTGTGAAAGCGCGTGGCGGTTCTCACAAAAGTGGAACTTGCTACCGTCGAGGGGACGAGGTGTACGGTGTAGTTTACAATGACTTGTTCAACGGGAAAGGGCTTGCCAAGGTAAACTTTACCATAAAATACAGCGGGATTGATCTCCCCTAAACTTTTTCGAGTATTCATATACATGAGTAAGGGAATAGCACTTTAAATGCAATCTTGCTGTAGTACTATTTTTTAATTAATGTTTTTAGTTCTTAAATCTTTTAAATAGAATAGAATCAAGTTGGAAAAAGAATTGTGCACCAAAATTAACGCAAACAATGTGTGCTTAGTAGAGCGGAACATTAGTACTTTATATAGGAAACATTGAATTATTTTAAAGAAAGTTAAACATCCAATGAAGTCACAATTGATGCTTTGCCATCGAGTCTTGACCTTAATGAAAATTTTGAAACAAAAATGTATCCAGTAGAAGAGATGTTTTTTTTTTTGGGAAATCGGAGAATGCTTATAGTACTACTTCCGGTCACCGGAAATCACTCAAATTTGAAAGAATCTAGAGAATGAGATCTACACCTATATATGAAATTTCGCCTACCTAACTAAAACAGTACTCAAGCGTTCAATCAATTTATACACGTAATCTTTCTTCTTCCAGACCCCAGCCTATGTTGAGTATGAGTTCAACTGGAAAAACTGGATCGCTGCTGATGAGCTGGACCGCACCTTAGAAAAAACTCTTGACGTCTCCAAGAAAACAGTGGGGTTCTCTAGTGCTTAATAATAATAGTGCACGATACAACGATACGTTCCACATTTTTAGTTATTTGTTTCAGAAATTTCTATAAAACTTTTAACTCTGTTACCTAAATATCCAAACCCTCTTTCTCATTAACGCAGTTATAATATTTTTTATATTACTTTTCTGGATTCTTTTTGTGTGTGGTTACTAAATTCAAACATGACAACAATTTGGATACTATATTAATGGTTTTAATAGTTAGATCGAAAGTTTTAAAGTGTTCAAAAACAGAATGCTGTAACGTACAAATGCATCACGTCTGAACTGAAATAAAACTCACCACTTTGATTCCACGATTTGATTGTTTATCTATTTTTATTATCTGACTATTTTTATTATCTGACTTGTTTTTGTTGTGACTGACCGTATATATCGGAAGAATATACCAACGCTGTTTATGTTGGTCATTTTATCGCCGCGGTGTGTGGTATTCTCGTAACTGTTGTCATAGTTCTTAGCAGAAAAATGGACTGCAAGAATATAACGGCGTTTGTTTTTTGCTTCAGGGCTGGTAGGCAAGTGGATACGTGGTATGTTGTCATTTGATTGTATGTGTGGTTGCATATGGAGAATAAACGAAGAATCTAGGACCTAGGAGGTGGGGGTGGGCCGACACTGTTAAAAGTATACATCTAATATATAAAGCTCAATTCTGTATGTAAAAATACATGTTTGTCGTTGACATAATTAATGGATTAAAGTGTTAGAATATTATCGTGCGCATTTGTCTAAATTTATGAGTTAAAAAATTATTATTGAAAGTGTTAGGAAATAATTTTCATTTTTCAAACTGATAGTAATAATTGTCGGCATGTTCATTAAACACAATTTTAAAAAAAATATCATCTTTTACAAAAACTCTAATTATGTCTGAAAATTATTTATATTTAGTCCTTTAGCATTTACTTCCCTTTGATAAATTAGGAAAACACAATTACTTCCCTTTATAAAACATTGCATTAGTGGAAAAGAATTTATTTTTTATTACTTGGTTTTGGTATACTTTAACGACAAAGAGTGGTTGGAGAGAGCATCATACCTAGCAAATATATTCTTAAACATCAACATAAGCTTAATCTGAAGCTTCATGGAAAATACACGAATATTATCTCTTTTTCATAAATAATCTCAGGGCATTTTTATCAAAGCTGTAAAATTGGCGAAGAAAAAAAAATCTTGGAAATATTGCCATTTTTGAAAAACCCTGCAGTGTGGTTGATGAATCTGATAGTGAGATAAAATAAAATTTTGAAAGAGGATTATGGGCATCTTGAATCTCTTGAAAACGAAGTGCGGCGTAAGTCGGCGTTATGTTCCCTGAGCTGAAAGAAGAAGAATCTGCATTGACACATTACACATTCTCTGTTTGCCAGCATCCCCCATGAATTACAAGATGACCTCTTAAATTTGCGGAATGATTCTGCATCACGTACCGTGTAAATGAAAAACTGCTCACACAGTTGCCTTTTGAGTTTTAGTTCCTTTTGTGTTTACATATCTTTGCGAGAATAAATTCTCAACACCTTCTCCAATTAAAAACAAAACAATGAAATAAATTAAATGTTGAGAATGGCATGAGGTTGGCGTTAACAAAAACTCAACCGCGAATGTTGAGGCTAGTTAATAGCATGCAATTTCACTCATCCTATTAAAACAATCAAAAATAATTTATATTGAAAGTCTACTAGAAAATCTTATTTAAGTGCTTATTAATTTCCTTACACCGCGTTTACACTTACGACATGTATACTAGACTTGACCTACTAAAGTGTTTTCTAAACATGTTACTGGTATATGGAACATCTTCTGAGTCGCAGGGCACAAAACCACGCCACTTTTTTGTGTTCTGGGTCAAGTTTTTGTCTTCGCTCGCTGGGCGAGAACATTGGACATGTTCTGAATTTTCAGTTGAGTGCGCATGCGTTGAAAAGTAGTAAGCGCATTCTAGGTCTCAGCTGATTGCAAAATTAAATATACTGATCTTGAGTTTTTGAGCACACGATTTCATGATTTATAACTTCTCTAGTGCCCTGCTAAAAATTACATTTTTATAATTACTTATTATTTCTTTAATTAAATCCCAAACACGTTTTAATGAAAAAAAGGTAATGTCTAAGGCATTACAATTTTGCATTATAACCAGTTTAGGTATTAATAACAAAAATAATAATTAATTAAAAAATATAATTTAACCAAATGTATCTCCAATTTTTCCTTGACCAATATTTTGTTTTAAGTGTATAAACATATTTTCAGTTTCCGTCTGACATGACTAAATCTATAGTCCCCCCCCCCCCCCCCCCCCCCCCCCCAGAATGTGCTCGTGGGATCACACAATCAACTGACTATAAAAACTGGCAGATAAAAGTTAAAGGCTAATTATTTAGGTTTAAAATGGGACATAATAAACATAAAGAAACTAGGGGAGTGGAGGGGGGAATGAGTGTCATAGGCCCTACTCTAAAAACTAGATCCTCTTTTTTTCTTAATAATAGACTAGTTATAACGCGATCTCAATACGTTTAATGAACTTGACAGATGCAAGTTTTCGAAGAAATCGGGCCTTTCAGCAAACAAATATTTAGCCCTGTTCATTAGGATCTGTTTCTGCAGGATATAGACAAGCAAAAAAGCTGGGAAAATGGCTACCATGGGGTTGGGGTGGGAAGGGATGATTGTACTGCGGGATGGGTAATGTCTACGACCCGCGCTATTATACACAGCATTAAATTTATAAAAACTGTCTAGCTCTAGTTGCTGACACTCCAATAAAATTTATAAAATCTTGCATGTCCTCTAATTTTTAGATAATTTGTTGTTGAATCGCAAGCCCCGTGGCTACACCATTTTCCTTTTCTCTTTCTCGTATATACGAAGTATAGAGAAAGTCTTGTAATGGTGCAAAAAAAAAAAATCGAGATTTTTACAAATCTCGACGTTTTACACCTCACTGATACGGAAAAAACATAATTTTGCAATCTTGTCCGTATGTCTGTGTGTCTGTCTGTGTGTGTGTAAACACGATAACTTGAGTACCGTTACAGCTAGGTTGATGAAATTTCATATATAAACATTTTATCAAAATCGTAGATCCGTATCAACTTTTGAGCGATTTCCGATAACCGGAAGTGGTACTTTTTCTACTTTGAATTTTTCAAAAGCATATAACTTGAGTACTACTTCAGATAGATAAATGAAATGTCACATGTAAGTTGACCGGAAGTACTAATTTACGCTATTTCCGATTTCTCAAGAAAACGCATGTAAATTTATAAAGTACTAATAATATTGCACACTATTATGCACATTTTGTTTTGTCGTTCGCCTGGTGCGCAATTCATTTTCTACTAGATTCTATTCTATTTTTAAAAGTTTAAGTAAACAAAAATCTTGTCTATATTCCAAGTTGCCATCCCGCGCAGTGTTATATTAGAATATTCGAGAAAGTTTAGGGGAGATCACTCCCGGTTTATTTACATAAATAAAGCTGCGTGCCCACTATCTACGTTTTTTACTTTCTCGTATATACGAAGTATAGAGAAAGTCTTGTAATCGTGCAAAAAAAAAATATCGAGATTTTTACAAATCTCGACGTTTTACACCTCACTGATATGGAAAAACATAATTTTGCAATCTTGTCCGTATGTCTGTGTGTCTGTCTGTGTGTGTGTGTGTCCGTGTGTAAACACGATAACTTGAGTACCGTTACAGCTAGGTTGATGAAATTTCTCATATAAGTATTTTATCAAAATCGTAGATCCGTATCAACTTTTGAGCGATTTCCGATAACCAGAAGTGGTACTTTTCCTACTTTGAATTTTTTTAAAGCCTATAACTTGAGTGCTATTTCAGATAGATAAATGAAATTTTACGTGTAAGTAAAAGATCAAATTCTCTACCTTCTGTTAAATTTTGAGTAATTCCCGTTGACTGGAAGTAGTACTTTACGCTACTCCCGATTTCTCAAAAAACTAATGTAAATTTTAAAAGTACTAATAATATTGCGCACTATTATGCGCTTTTTTATTTGGCGTTCACTTGGTGTGCAATTAATTTGTCTACGAGATTGTATTCTATTTTTAAAACTTTAAGTATTTAAAATGGATTAAAAAAAAATTCATAAAAAACGTTTTAATAACAAGCTTTTATGTAATAATGCACTAAAAAGTAGAAAATAAATTATAGACTACTATTTAAATAACTATAAAGAAAAGCGTGGGTCACTTTAGTATCTATTGGATACCTTTACTAATGTTAAGGAAGACACCCACGCTTTTCTTTATAGTTATTTAAATAGTAGTCTATAATTTATTTTCTACTTTTTAGTGCATTATTATATAAAAGCTTGTTATTAAAACGTTTTTTATGAATTTTTTTTCAGTACTTTACATGTTTTATTTACAATAAAGTTACATGACTAAAAACCATTGCGCGCCTACTGAACATCACGTTCAGTAGGCGCGCAATGGTTTTTGAACGCAGCCATTGAAGCTATTGAAGGTGATGGCGCGTGTGGTGTGGTTGGCTAGACATGCCTACTAATTCGGTCCAAATTTTTATTAATTCATAAAAAACTAATTAGGCATCCAATTAAGTCAAATTTAGTTTCAGATTGCATTGTCTTCATGTCTTGACCCACGTGCCAACTGTGAATCGTATCGGTCAAGTAGAACTGTCCGAATTTTCACTCCTGCGTTTCCGTCTAGACTGACGACTGACGACTGACGACAGAGGAAGTGAGTTAAATAAAAGCTTGTAAAAATCATGTCTATAGCCCGAGTTCCCATCCCCTGTTATTTTATATTAGAATATTCGAGAAAGTTTTGGGGAGATCACTCCCGGTTTATTTATACTTTGATTACTCTTCATTTTAATTATCTGTGCCTTTATAGCAGACGCTCCGGGTCAAAGGTGATGCATCATAATGCATGTATTATAAAATGTTCTATAACATGTTCTGTAAGTGTGAACGCTAAAGT